CTAACTAAGAGCTATGTGGCAATGTTTTGTAGGACCTCTAATATGTGTTGACTTTGCAAGACACATGTCTTAACTTACAAGATAAGTTGTCTACGTGTGGGCCACATAGTTACCTTATTCTTCAAGCTATCAACATATGTGGCACATAGCCAACTTGTTGACCACTTTTCTAACCTAAAAAGTCAATTAAGGATACCTATAAAGTCAAAGTAGCATCTATAAAGTTTTTAAGAAGCTTCTATAGAAGATATTATGGAATTGATCTACTTTTACTTACTATTATCTAAATCATATAAGTAATTATTGGTTTATATGTGTATGTCCATGAAAATTCTACAACAAGTTTGGCAACAATTCAAAATGGGTGTTGATATAAAATATATGACTATTACTTTCAGTTTCTATTGTAGCTAGATAAAACTATTTTTTAAAACATTGTATTTTTTAAGTACTATTGTTGTTGTTTTATAGTTGCTTTAATTATTTGAATAATCTGATTATTATATTTAGGTTCTCTAAAATATAAGCATTATTCTTCTTCAATATATCAAATCTCTTTTTTTCTAAAAAAATGTCTAAAACTTATTACATTAATTTGCATGTCTTCTACTTCTAAATATATATGTTAAAAAAACATTAATGCTTCTTCTAAATTATTAAGACATTGAAGCATATTAATGTAGTTTTTAAATTTTAAATTTAAAAAGCTAATTTTTATACTTTATAATAAAATCAATTGTTTGATATAAAGTTTGAAAATAAAATAAGTTCAACATCAATTCTTTTACTTCATATTGTAATTCATAGAAACATTGCTTAATAGTTGCTACATCATTCCATTTCATATGAGTTAAAAATTCTTAAAATCGTAAAGCATATAATGATATTAAAAAATTGTATTGATGTAAAATATAAATCTTATTGGTTGCAACCCAAATTGCATCATGTTTCTTATATACAGATTAAAATTTTGTTAAAAAAACATCTAAATTATCTAACACTAAATCATATTGTTGAAAAAAAGATTAAAATCATAATAAAGTTGGACTTGAAATGAATGTTCTAATAAATTTAACTTATAATCTTGAAATTCAATAAATTTAGAATTAAAGCTTAATAACTAATTTTACTTGATTGATAATTTCTCAAAACTTTAATCTTATACCATCAAATTTTTATAAAAAAATAATTCTTGTTTTTTTTAACTTGTAGTGATACTTGAATAATATTTTATTATAAAAGAAACAATACAATTTGGTATAGATGTTGAAGTAGCTCCAATCATCTCTATAACTTTACTTCCAAATAATTATATTCTTCCTTTGGTAGTGAATTGAATTAATACAATACAAGCATTAACTCTCTCATTTCTTCTTGTATTTGTATTAATTTCCTATTTATTTTAATAAGCTCTATTTTAATTATACAATAAAAAAAATACTTACCATAAAAAGAATCAAAGAAAAAAATAAATCATCATGTATTACAACAACACCATTTCTTGTAATACAACATTACAAAGTTAGCTCCAAAGGTTTATTATCAGCATTAAGATTGGACATCCTTGAATTATAATTATTGGTGAATATTTTCTAAAGAATTGCAATCACTCCATAATACCAACTAGGGATCATTAAGGCTTGTGGTGAGTTTGATGACAAATCACTTTGGGATGTCCAAAGGAGGTACACAATTCTATAGTGAATTAATTATGTATAATTATAATCGGTGTTAGCATTATGGAAGTAGAATTTTATAATGGAAGTCATTTGAAGTAGTATTTTGGAGTTGTAACTCAAAGAAAGTGTAGCCTTTTATAAGATATTTATGGTTTGTGTACTTAAATGTTGAAAGACTAAAAAATGCAAGATTATGATATGGACTAATAAAAACATCTTTTTAGATGGATGTTTGTTTGGAATATACATTTAAAAAGAAATACCAAGAAGTAAGAGCCCTATGTCTTATTTGAGTTCCATATAACCACTACTTAAATAAATCATTTCTTAAATTAGAATTTTATTATAAAATTTTATTTGATTTAGAATATTATCTAAAAGACATGCATAATAAATTTAGGAAACCATTAAGTAAGCACTTTTTTTTAATTAAGTAGGCAACTTTTTTTTTATAAGTAGATATTTTTTATGTTATATTAATAATGGACTATTTCTATAATTTTTTTAACAAGTTACACACTAATGACATTGAAAGGCTAAAAACAACAACGAAAAATAATATTCATCCATAATACAAAAACACCTACAATACATAAGTTAAATGAAACAAATAAATATATGAAGATGTCTATGTAGCAATTATGCTTCGTAAACATCCTCTTTTTCTATTTATTTTGTTTTTCTTTGATTAACTTCTTTGTCACTAGTATTCTTCTTGTGTTGTAAGTTGTTGTTTTTATATCTTTTAGCCTCATTAGTGTCCAACTTCTTAAAAACTAGTAGCACTAGTGTATTATTGGTGTAGCACAAAGATATTATCACAATCTAAAGAAAGTGACCACCTAGTGGTTTCTTAAATTTATTTATAAATATTCCAACATTGATCAAATATGACATAAGCTTGAGAGATTGAAACATGTAGTTTACAAAATGCTGGAACTCTCTAACACTTGTACTCATTCTTGAGAATTGTTAATTAGAAACCAATCAAAATCAACAGAATGAAAAATTAGTTAAGATTAATACAATGTAAGATAAATGAGTAATGTTGTATTACAAGAAAACTTGTCTAAAATTAAAACAACAGAAATGCTATATAAACAACAATAAATTGCCGTCAGAACAGGTGTCTTAGAAAGAAAGGGAATCCAGTAGACTATTCGCTGTGATAAGCTCGATGTCGGTAAGCGAAATGCTGGACGAACTCGCTGTTCACGGTTGAGTCTGCGCGGTGAGCGCGTATCAGTGAAGTCATACGCGATTTGTTAGAAGACATCGGCGATGAAGTTTTCCGGAGCATCTGCAACCATCTCTCCTCTATATCTGTGATGACATTGACGGCAGCATCGTTTTCTTTTAATGGTAAACACAATATTTGGACGACGTCTGTTTACCACTTTTCGCGAATCTCCAGAATCGAGGCTTTTTATATTTATATTTTGCATTACAAAATTAGGTGAAATTTCATCTGCATTGGTAATTTTTCCTCCAGCAATGCTTACTAGTCAATCCATTTCACCTTAATTATATACATTATTCAAATCTGTTTCGATGCTTCTTCAGTTGAAATTCTGTGAAAAGGATTAGGAATGAGAAAGAAGACCGCATAAGTCCAGCATGCATGTAGGGCAAATTGTGATATGTAGTTTTATCTTGCAGCAAAACTAGTGCCAAAACAGATATATAGTCTCATGTACTGGATGAGCAGAAGGTAAATGAACAAGATAATTGCATGTACAACTGTAAAAGAAGCCATGAACTCACTCTGAAGTATGTTCTTGCTAATCTTACGAAGCACCTCATTGGCTTCGTCATCAAGGAGGCACGCAAACTGGTCAAGAAGTGGGTACACTAATCTAGCAAGGTGTTTAAACAAACAAGCAAGTCAAGGGCTTGTTCCGGTCACCAGGAATCCCTTAAGCTTCGAACTCATCCTTCAGGTCTGAAACAAGCATCATGCTTGCTGCCTTCGGCCTCCTGAATTGTAAACCTCTCTCAGCTTTGTTCTCAATTTCCAATCTGCGGAATGATAAGACAGACAGGATATGGATTAATACCACTGGGATCTACTACAGCTTTTATGTTTTCGGTATATTTTTATATTAGTAAATATTCATTACTTAAGATCATTACCATTTTATGTTCGAACTTTACATCTTTGATGCATTTTGATATATTTAATTGCATCAAATTTGACATTGCTATCAAAGAAGTTAAGATGCAATGTCAAATTTGATATTTAATTGTCTTTGCATCTTTGATGCATTTTGGTATATTTAATGTCTTTGATTATTTTCTACTATTTTATTTTGTCTAAGAAGTAAAGAACTTTATAACTTTTTCTTAATTTGCAATTGTGAGGCTTGCCATCACTACCGTTGATCTATACATTTATTATGCCTAATTACAACACAATTAATTTGCAGATGTAATTTCTATTTATTATAATTATGTACAAGTTTTATTTTCTATAAGAACTAGAGCAAACCTTGCAATTTAAAATGATTCAATTCTCTCAATTTTTGAACTTTAGTTAAAGTCAAAGTATACTTCTAAAATGCTGAGAGATAGGACAAATATTTTCTTATCTAAAAATAATTTGTCAAAATAAAAAAATATTGTGTTATTTTTACTATAAACTTCATTACATTAAATAAATAATTTTTTTGTACGTTTATGGAAAGTAAACAAAATTAAATAGTGGAGAGAAACATGTAAGATAGATATGTCTTTTCCAAGAAACATAATAAAAAAAAAAAAAAAAAAAAAAAAAAAAAGCTTTTTAGATATAAATATATGTGTGTGATTTTTTTATGTATACCATATGACCATGAAAATTTCAGTTAGAAGTGTATACATTTCAAAAATAAATAATAAAAGCATTGTCTTTTTATTAATATGTATTAAAAAATTGAGGTTATTCATGATCTTGTCCATACCTTTCTTGTATTTTAATATTAGTTCAAGACTCTTTACTTTCTTAGTACATGAAATCAGTTATTTTTGTTATTTTTGTTTTACATGGAACTAGTTATTTTTGTTCATAATTTAATACGTAATATTTTTTTTCAAAATTCAAGCAAATTTTGGAGGGCAGTATGTGAGTTGTTCCTAAATTGGCTCTACCAAAGCTGAAGCTGAAGTATTGTTTATTTTAATAAATATTCGTCTTTTAAATTTTGAATTCACATACCTTTGTAAGAAGTTGACACTTCCTCTATAAATAAACATGCAGACCCAGACTTATCCACTTTAAACACTAGTGTGATCTATACATATCCCAATTGTATGTGGTCACTCTCAATCAAAAACAGTCACGAATAAACAACGAATCAGGATTTCGCATCATTGTTTACTTCAGCGTGGAATTGAAAGGAGCAGATTAAATTCAGAGTGCAACATGAAGCTAATTCTTGTGCACAGACCTGGTAGAGAAAAACTCAACAAAATTTCCGGAGGCATTCACCTCAAGGATTTCAGACTACTCAACACTCACTGATCTGTACTGTAATAGCTTTTAACCTGTAGGCATTATTGAGACGTTGAGCAGCAAGAGCAAGACCATCTGTCTAGAATCTGAGAGCACCTTTCGGTTTGTACGAATATGCTTCGTAGTTGATATTCTTTTGGCCGATGACACTCAACCTCGTAAATGTTGTAATTAAGTCCACCTACCACAAACAATGTCCGACATGAGTACCTACATAATTGTAAATGAAATATATCTTAGTTGCCCTCAATATCCTAACCTGACCCCAGGCAGCACATAAAAAAATAGAATAGAACAAGGGAACAAAAAATGACAAAATATTGCATTGGAGTAACTATTTAGCTCCTCTGATACGAGTCTTACCTCGTAGTCGGTCTGTGAGACTGTATCCCTACTGTCTTGGTACTTCTTCACCCACGGTGCAAAATCAGGATCTGTAGCTAGATTCACTTCTGTTGCAGCTTGATCAGGTCCCAAGAAAGCTGATAGGACAGCAATCTGCACATGTAGATTCAAAGTTGCTTACACGGGTCTTAAAATAAAAATTCAGAGCTTACGAGCAACCTCATTTACAATAAAACACAAGGGCTGAAAGGCTTAAACATTCCTGAGGTATTTGACCAGTGAAAAATCAACTCACCTGTCTCGGCTTGATGCCCAATTTAGCAAATCTATCCTTAATCTCGGCAGTTGAGGCAGTTTCCCATGACAGTACCCTACCTTCGGGATCAGCCTCCCCAGCATCAGCTCGGCCCAACAACTTGTCGAATTGTCCCCACTGAATCACAACAGAAACAATTGTCAATAATCAATAGCCCAGAGATGCCAAAAACTCAGAACAGAACTTCCACACCAGCCTGGTTCTTAAACCGGATTTGAATGTGACATTCTTAGTAAGGTATGCAGCTAACCTGCCCTGTTGAGCCATAAGCGGTGTACAGTTGCTCTCCCTTTTTCTGGTCACCACCGCACTTGCGAACCGCTGATTGGATGAAGGTACGCTTCACAGCAGCTTGTGCTAAACATCGTAAATCAACAATCAATCGTTTAAAATAGGATGAGCGGAAACCTCCACTTAAGGTGACAAAGTCAAGAAGATTATTTCTCCACTAAATTCTAGGGAAACTCCAACCGGAGAGACACCAAGAAGAAGATTGATTTTTCTTTTAGTTGTTGAGGAGAGCCCACAACTGGAGGGACACCGAGCGAAGTGTAAGCGTCTAGAGACAAATACCAGCAATATGAATAAGGTCCGCATATGAAATAGGACCACCCTTAGTTGCAGCGGCTTCGTCAATACTCTTCTTGATATTTTCCAAGAAGTTCATTGCCTTGTCAAGTCCTTTGTTCTCTGGCCTGTTCAGCTCTGCACTGCACTTCAACAAAGTCAGACCTGAAGGGAACCTCCTTAGTATTTAATCTGAGGTTTGAATTCATCGTCTTCGCAACATAAAACACTCCGGCAAGACAAGATTCGAGACATACCGTACCGAATAGAACCATTTGCCCCACCAGTCTTTGAGTCCTGTGTGACATAGGCATGCGTTCAGAACGTGCCCAGTTCTGTGAAAAAGGAAGAAACAGGAAGCAGTGAAATGCAACACTGAGATCTACATAGAATAGAAAAGAATATGAGGATGGATTGGTCACACACAAACCAAGAGGCTGACCTTGTCATAGGTTAAGGCATCATTGAGCGCCAACTTGAGAAGATCTGGAATAATATCGGGATTTGCCTGAAGCAATGCATCAGGTACCACAGCTGAGCTAAGTAAGACATGCTGGGCGACCCAAGTGGCGAGAAATTACTTCGATTACAGCGGTGCATGGAAGATATAAATTAAGGTTTAGAGAAGAAATCATACCCCTATCTCCACTCTGAGCTTGTCTTTCACACTCGCTTCATGCACACCACACGACAAGCCCATTTGTATTAGTTCATATCGCTTTTCGTAGAAAATGAAGCCTGTGTAGATCACTAAATGAACACTACTACATCACTCGAAAAGAACATAAAATTTGATTCAAGGTTTAGGATTAAGCTCACTGAGAAAAATGCCACGTTGTTGCCTCTGTATAATGTCAGCAGCCTGCGCTTCGTCACATCCAGAAGTCGAGGTCCAGACACCAGACTGCCAAATCCATTTGCAATTTACCCACTCATGTTTACAGACTTCCAATAGGACGTAGGAAATTCTTTTACATGTCCCTCTATCAATGGCGAGAACAAGAATCTTCAATCTGGCGTCAAAAGACCGGCGTGCTCGTGATGAAATCAGATTGCTGAGGCCACATTAAGAGAAATGCTTTTAGGTGTTGAAGAAATACTTACTGCCACAAGTGAAGCAGATAGACTGATGATATTTCTTCGAGTTACCGTCACTTCATCTTTCTCGCTTGCTTGGCACCGCACCCCACACTACCCACAATCACAACTTATTAAACCAGGACTTGCATGGGATTCTACAATCGCTAAAAACAAACCATTCATCAAGAATACTAGAAAAACAGAAATTGGCAGAAATTTGCACAGTTGAAGTCTACAATGCGACAAGATTTTGAGTCAGAAACCAACTCCCCAAATGCTATACTACAATGCAATAACTCCAATAAGGTTGCAGAACGGGCTTGCGCAAATAAATTACAACTGCAATTCGACATCAACTCAAACTGAGCACAGCAAAAAAGTCTCCTTTTTCGAGAACCTTCTTCGCCCACGCGAGCCTCCAGTGATACCGCTCTATAATCTAACCACCTCATTCTAAAAGTTCAAACTCGGAATACCTACCTTGAAATCAATATCAATTACTCGCCAACACTGCCCTCAGAAAATCGTTCGCCCGATTTCAATGTAGCGCTTACCTTGTTTGCAGTTGCCGGGGTAGCAGCTCGAGGAGGAATTGAGACCACAGCATTCCCGCACAAGAACGGAGACGCGGGATCCCTGAAGATGGGACTTGCCAATGCAGGAGCACACAAGGCACGCGTCGTCGACACTGCTGCCATAGCTCCCGACCACTACCCACAGCTCAAACCCAATTTATCAAATTCGTCAAATCCCAATTCACCATCATGCTCAACACCAAAGCACTTCAGACGTCATCATAATTCCCATTACTGACTACAAAAATAAGTAGAGATCCTCTTCAAATACCCACTATCTCACGTCGCCTCACACATCATCCCTTGTGAGGTCAGACTCTACGCTGAGATCACAGCACCGGAGTAGGCAATGTGACAGACTGAACCCATACCGAAGGTTTCCTGTTCTCCTTCTTCCTGATTGAGATTGCGATGTTCCGGGATGAGCGTGGACAAGGGTCTTGAGCTACTTGGCGGGTTGGCAGATTTAGAGATGCCAAAGAGTAGGAGTCTGCGGCGAGCCTTATCCTGATTCTCAGCTGAGAGTGTACAAGTGTGCAGCGACCCTATCCATGCACCAATCAGAGCACTAGGATGTAGCTCCACTGGATCCCTGCCTTATGATAAGTGGGGTTGCAAGTTGATGGGGGCTTCGAAGTTCGTGGAATTGAGCGGCTCAACAGACGAGCTCTTCATCGATGGAACGACGACCTTTTGACTTTTCCGCAAACAGCAGGTCCAAAAACCTTCGTAGTGTTAATGATTAGAATTAAGTTGCCCTCCGGAGTATCTGTTCTGACACCAAAGCCTGACCTTTTTTTACTCACTTCTAGAGGATGTGTTCTTTTTGGCATTTGCTGCGTAATCTTTTGTTTCTGTCCAATTGAAATGTGGACGGTTCACATGCTATCATCCTCTGCAATGCTGGTGTATTCTTCAAGATTCGGTGCAGTGAAGATGCGAAAGGGTTTTGGTTTCTAAATGTGACAGAGTTCCATTCGCTGCAAAAATACAATATTCTTTTTATTTATATTTTTCACGCTTGTGACGCTCATGGTGTTCCTACGGGAGTCAAGAAATCTCCTGCAAGCGCCTTTACGAGTTTCTTGCAATAAAGAATTGTTGTGATTTGCATGTGGTGCATTCTCGCTTGATTTCTGAATCGACTGAACTTAGCATTACCTTTGCAACGAGTTGGTTTCTGAGAGTTCCACCAATGACGACTACTAAACTTATTCAAAAGCAGTTGCATGTCTTCGGGTGTCTGGTTACTTGACTCGCCAACCGAGAGTCACAGCAATGTTGTCTATAAACTTGACAATGATAGCTCATCGATTATTGTCACGATGAAAAATCATCAAGCCACAAGCACCCAATTCACAGTATCGCGCTCACATGAAAGCTCCACAGCTATACCTTTCCTGCACGTGGTTTGGATCTCGAAAACATGAATTTGCAGAAAATGAATGCCACATCTGCTTGTTTTCGCATTTCAAGCTGCGGATCTCATTCGCAGGCAGGTAAATGATATTACCAACATGGATTCTACAACCAACTTTTAGCTGGCCAAATGATACACAACCAACTAAGTTTTGAATCAAGGGAACAAAATATTGTTGTTGGAGGGGCATAAAGATTTACCAAGAACGGAAGTTCATCTAGGTTCCGTTGCATAGGGAGCACTGAAGAAGCCTTCATCTCCAGAAACGAATCGCGGTGGAAACTGCATCATATCCATGCAAATATTATGCATGAGTTTTTAGTTACCTCATTTTGGCATCTTTTGCATACTCAAAGATTGAGGATGTTGCTTTAGTGCAGTTACCAACCATGGCCTAAACTCGAATGCAATGAAAAACACAAAATTTAAGCGAACTTATGCATTCGTGGAGCAAACCCCAGGACACATACAGCCAAAATAATGCACACATTGCAGTCACACATGTCATCGATACCTCCAATCCATGAAGTTGAAACTAATTTTTTGATGTTAAATAGTGAGACTTTACCCTTTTGTAATGCACTTCATCTCGATCCCATGGCGCTTGAAATCCCGCAGCTCTGTTCGGCTGAAGCAGTAACCAACAGTTATCACCACACAACGAAGGGAACCCAAAAGAAAGAACTCCGATGACCTCAAGCTCAATGTTTTCTCGTCCAACGTCTCCTCCATGGGTGTGTTTACTTGCTACTGTGACTTAAGCGAGAAGCACAGAACTTGGACTAACGCAAAGCAAGACGAACACTTCTGGGTTAGGTCTTCAAACAATTGTATGGACACACAAGTGAGGGAAATATATAACCTTTGGAATAGTGCGATTGTCTAAGGTAGCATATGGAGCTGTGTGAGAGTTGGCGGAGCCTGTAGGCCCGTGGTATTCATTGCCCTTGCCTGAATTTACGGGAGACTGGAACTTATTCCATGGAGCTACTTCGATCTCCCTTGTTGACTGATAACACCCCCAGAAAATTCCTGATCTAAATTTAGATGGAGCAGTCACCTTCTGTTGGACGATCAAATCCAAGCAATTGGGCGTCAATTGTACCAAGAGGTAGAAGGAAGTGTTGTCATTCTTGCCTTTTCTTGATGACCCATATTTTCAGCAGTTGCGTAAGGGACGTTCTTCGAGTAATCTTCATTTGGCGCTTTTTGTTGAGAGGCTGGCCTCTGGTCTTTATTCCATGGAGCATCCGGCATCGGCCCGTCGTACTGAGTGCACCATCAGCATTCGCGGAGTCATCACCGTTGGATTCCCACGACTTAAACTCATCGTGTGGGTTCTTTGGAGTGCAAATTCTCGGCGTGCAAATAGGGTTTTCCCAAATCAATCATCATCATCAAAGAATGTATTGGAGGGTTGAGGACTTGCCTGCTTTTGATGCTCGAAGTTTTCAGTCGTCGCAAACGGGGCAGTCTGTGAGGATGGCAAATTGGAATGCTCATGGACTCCACTACCCCGGACTGGTATCTGATCAGGCAATTTTTTGTCCCAAGGCGCATCGTCTCTATCTCGAAGTTGCTGGGAGGCAGACAGACAATCAAGCAGTTTGCCAAAAGTTATGATTGGACAGCAGCAATTGCATGAACTGCATTGTTGTGGCACTAACGAAAACGTAGATGCTATTGCAATAGTCACATTGGATGTTGAATTTCCCGATTTCACAAAATGCAGCATATCATCGTTTGAAAAAGCTGCAAATTCTAACAAACTTCGGCAGTTTATGAAGTTGGGAGTTGTTTGCTAATCAAACAGACTGAAACATTTTGAATGAACACCAACCGCCGACGTTCAGGAAAACAAAAAAAAAAAAAAAAAAAAAAAACGCTCACCTATACATTCTTTCACGTTGTGAACAATATTTATGCTTATCACGACCACATGGACAGGTCAAGTAAATTCCAGACCCTTGATAAAGCTCTTGTACGCAAACCTGCGGTGGCTGTTTGTAATTATCTGTAATAGCAAACGGTGAGGAATGACGGTATTCGTTGGGGTATGGGCCTCGGTAAGTGGGGTTCACTGGTGTCTCTTTGTTCCATGGTGCTTCAGTCAATGGTCCATCGTACTGCAATAACCGCAACCACCATAAGTTCTCAGCAGCAAGCAACCTCAACCGGATATCGTCGCAGGTATCCTATGGATTCTTGCAAAAGTCTCCAAAGTTTCAAAACCACCAAGGAGATCTTCAAAGGGACACTGTAAGCCTTCGTAATCCAAAACTCACATCGCAAGACATCACGGAACTTAGTACGTTGGAAGTCAGATCCTTGTGACCCAGTTTTTGGTTTGCATTTACCGTTCCATGTGATGACGTGAAAATTGCAATAAAGATCCGTTTCCTTCAGACTTACATGATCAGAAATCAATAAACTTTGGGATACTGTGTCTACAAAACTTAACACGGCAGTCTTCCAAGGTGTGTTAAAATTACAAGTTTTAGCAAACTGGACACAAGCTGCTATGTTGGATGAGATCACTCCAGTGTTAGGGATGCAAACAGGAGCAGATATGCAACATGTTTGCATTTCAACCATGCTATACACAACCGAGAGAAAACCATACCTCAAGGGGACTCGGAAGGTTGTGAAAAGTAGCGAATGGAGCAGTTTGTGAGTTGCAGGGCATAAAAGCATCTGGATCATGGCTGCGACCGGTTACGATTTCGGGTTCGTCCTTCAACCAAGGTGGGAGTAAAGCGTCGGCACGCTTCTCGTAGACAGGCGGATCCACCATTGTTGCGTAAGGAGGAATCATACTGTCGGAATACATAAAACTCAATTTTCCGTCTTTTTTCTTCTGTTCACCGTCCAGATATCGTCCCAACCTTACCTCTCCACAGATACAGACAGCTTCAAGCAATCATCTATTCCAGAAACGAAAACCGTGCAAGCAAAGCTTGCTAATTGAACTTCCCTGAAGCACATGAACTGTGATGTGGACAAGTTGCATCACAAGAGGAACTTCACAGTCCATGCAAACTTCAATGACTTGAAGGGATTCTCAGTGTCACCCTGTTTTAGAAAAACCAAATTAGTCAGGACTATCAAAGAGAGTTTGATTCAGAGAGTTTCTCGGAATGATTGAATTGTGTCAACATCCTTTCCTGCCAAAACACAAGAGTGCATTGTGCTTTGCAGGACTGTCTGCCATTCTATTATAAAAGAGATACGGTTATGGTCAGCGAATACAGAGAAACAGACATTAGCAATTGTGAGGCAGGGGATCTGTAGAATAACAATCCGTCCACAACTTGACATTCACCCACTGAATCCCACAACTAAAACATAAAATAAAAAAAGGGCATTGATTCTAACACTTCTTAGCCGCATTGGCACCCCATCATAGGCACCTTGATGGCGATAATTTTACCCATCTCTTCAGCATTACATTACTGTATGTGTATTTGTTTAGATAGATTTTTGGACGAGTCTTATAAATATCTGATAGGTTTTTGAACACTCTTTTCTGACCAACTTCAATTCTATCAATTTTTTATTTTTTTTATTTATTTACTTTTAAAAAGAGTATATCTAATATAGGATAAGAATAGCACGGTCCTTTTTGTTTTAAATTAATTGAAAAAAATACAAAAAAAATCCTTTTAACAAACTGTGTCAATTTTTATATTGTTTTGTTAAGTATTTATTTATAATTACAAGAATTATAGGTTTATGAATTTATAAAAATAATTAATTATAATTTTTGAAATATAAAGAATGTTAGAATTTATTTAATAAAATATTATGTGATATTATTATTTTTGATGATTTTTTGTTGATTTTTGTATATACTCTTTTATGATAATTTGTTATACACAAGAACTTAGAGAATGTAAATAACCAAGTGAGACCTTTCTCAAAGAGAGATGACAAAACAAAAAAGTAAATTTGTATATTCAAGAAGAAATTGGAATGACTAGTGCTAAATACTAGAATATTAAAAATTATTAAAATTAGACTACAGATAAGAAAAGAATTGATAAGAGTGAGAAAGTTCTCTCTCTTACCTCTATATATATTATCTAACTAGGAGCTATGTCTGGACGTTCTATAGGACCTCCAATACATGTCCAACTTGTAAGATATATATCTAATTTAAAAAATAGGTTTATTTATATGTGTGTCACATGTCTAACTTATACTACAAGTAGCTAGTATGTATAACATGTGGCTTACTTGTTGGCCAAGGTTTTATCCTACCAATCACCTACAAAAATGTATAAAAATAAATCCACATCTATAAAACTTCTAAAAAGTTTGTTTATAAGATATTATTAAATTTATTTAATTTTACTTACTCCCACTTATTCATATTATTTAAAAAATTAATGAAATAAATTGATATATCTATAATATTATTTCTTCTTTTAGAAATAAGTTCCATAAGAAGTAATGATCAAATGTTGAAGAAATCTAGACTGCGACAAATTAAATATGTCATTTACTATAATCTTTGTTCTTTTTGAAGGTAGTTGATAGGTCTTCTTGATAAAGAGGGCATTTAAAAGTGTGTTGGATGTATATTTGTATTTAATTTAAATTATATATTTTATAATTATTTTGTAGTATTCAATGTCTTTTGTATAATAATCTATGTTTACACAACAACAGTCATGTGATATGACATAGAGTACCAAATTTCATCAAATGTATGTAGTTTAATTTTATTAGAGATTTCTTATCTATTAATATTTTTTTTGTTTGCTGATTTTATTCAAATCAACTAAAATTTAAATATTTAGGAAGAAAAAAAATTATTGACCTAACATTCTTATCAAGTCAAGTCTTATGAGTGATTTTGAGAATAGAAGAACTTGTTCTAAAGGTTTGCTTGGCTATGGTAATTTAGCCATTTTAATAAAGCTTTAGGGTTTATTTTATTTTGATACTTACATTCTTAGATTCTTCTTTTGTGATATAAGAGATAGCTTGACTTAGTTTGGTATAGATTTCTAATCTTTCCTTGAAAGTGTATTAGATGTATATTTATATTTGATTTAAATTTCATACTTTGTGATTAGTTTGTAGTACTTAATGTATTAAATTTGATGATCTTTGTTTATATGATATACTAAAGTTTGTCTTTATAGATCAAATATGTAAGTGGAGTTGCAACTTTATTGATAAAATTTGACTATAATTGATGAATCATAAAAAAGATTTTACCTTTGTTATTATTTTTGAAATCTTCTAATCTATGATAGTCTAAATTTTCTTAATATCTATCATAAAACTATTATTAGAAATAATATATCTAAAAAATTCAACTTAAATAGTATAAAATATATATATTTTTTTTTATCTTGTTGCATAATTATATATCTTTAAGTTTTTATAATACACAACAAACATGAAGTTTATACTCTTATATATTCTTAGAGCAAATTAACATGTTATCTAAATCACAAACTATTAAATCATCTAAAAATTCTTAAAAGACATCATTCATTAGATGTTGAATAGTAAATGGAGCATTTGTAAGTCCAAAAAGTATGATATTGTATTTTAAATGTGCATATTTAGTTCAAAATATAATCTTTTATTCATTTCTTTTTTTAATATGTATCAAATTTTATGTTCCTCATAGATCTATTTTTGTATATTTCTTAGCTTGATTCAATTCATTAAAAAGTCCAAATATCAAAAGTAGAGGATATTTATTCTTGATGGTAATCTTATTAAGTCCTCAATAATTTATATATATCTATAGTCATCTATTGTCATCCATATTTTTTTTCATTAAAATGATAGGAGCTCTTGCTAGAGATTTAGAATACTGTGAAAAATTATTGGCTAGGTTCTCATCAATATATTCTTTGACTTTAGGCAATTCATTTTGTGATAAACTATAGATTAGTCTAAATGATAGTTGAGTTCTTTCTTGAAGATCAATTGAGCATTTATAAAGAAAATGCTTTGAAAGAATATATGCATTTTTCTTCTTAAAAATATCTTGATAACCTTAATATTAGTTTGAAATGACACTTGAAGTCTTTTCATCATTAGAAATAGGTGTGGCATAATTAAAAAGAGATTATCCTTCTTTTGTGGCATATATGAAAGGCCTTGTACTTAAAAATAAAAATTTGATTGGACTAGACTTATAAATTTTTACTTGCTTGATAAAACTCTTAGTTATGCTTTGAAAAAACTTAAGACTATAAAAAATCTAATCTATTAAAGGATTATATTTTTTTTAACTACAATAAACCTAAATGATTAGATTAGAAAAGATCTAATTTTATTAAATATTACAAAGCTATTATGACCATCTATTGCTACATCTATAAAAAGAATTTTATAGAAAATAAAACAATCTACTTTTAATCAAGAAAAAATAAATTTTTGATATTGTAAGTATATTCTTGTCAATTTTTTAAAAAATAAGAGCTTAAAGAATGTAAATAACCAAGTGAGATGTTTTTTAAAGAAAGAAACAAAAAAGAAATAATTAAATATGTACATTTAAGAAAAAACTAGAATGACTATTTCTATGACTAAAAAACTAAAAACTATTGAAACTAGATTAAAAGCAAGAAAAGATTTGATAAGAGTTAGAAAGTTCTTATTCTTATTTCTATATATATGATCTAGCATATATATATATATATATATATATATATATATATATATTAAAAAAATTTAATCATATTTATATATAAACATTAATATATCTTTCTATCATTTTTTTTTAAACTTCATAATGTTTATAAACTTGATTTCCAATTATATATTTTTTATATATTAATAGTAATAATTATTTAAATAAAATTAATCTATCAAAATAATATAAAATATAAAGCAATAAAAAAATTATAAATTTATTAATATAGTAATATTGTATAAATTAAATTGTGATATTAATTGTATATTATTTTTAATTGCCTAAATATTTTTAGTCATTACTTAGAAAATAATACCATATTTTTTTGTTTCTAAAAGATTTGTAAATTTTTTATTGTAATATAATAGAAAAAAATAGAAAAAAATAAAAAATTACGTATAATTTTATTATAATAAATAATTTTAAAATTTTTAGTAAATATATATATATATATATATATATATATATATATATATATATTTAAAATAATTACCTATTAGATAATATTTGCAATTGAAAATTATTAATTGAAGTTTTAAGAAGATAAAAAAATAACTTTTGGTTGGTTTGTAAATATTATTTTAAAAAAATATAAATTTCTGTGATTAAATAATTTTATTTGATTGCTTATAATTTCATGCTTGGATTTCTACTATGAATAAATTCTCCTTATTGAACTATTTCAACCAAATCAACTTCAAATATGTAAATATTTATTTTTTTATAAATACAAAAATAATTTTTTTATTTCTAAAAATATATAAATTTAATATATAATTTAAATCACTTTGAATTAATTTCTTCTATTGCAATAATAAAAATGAAAAAGATAAATTCTATCTATTATATTATATTAAAAAAACAACATCTAATAAATATCAAAAAAAATTAAACTCTTCTTGCTAGAAAATTATTTTATCTTGTTTATGACACATATCTAAACTACAAAATTTTAAAAGTTTTCTTGAAAATAATTTAAAAAATTTACTTCTATTTTTTAGCTATATAATGTTTTCTTATTGATTTAGATTAGATTTAAATAGAAAATTTTAAAATTTTATCAATAAAATAATATTATTATTATTTATCTTTTATCTAATAATAGATATAAAATATATTAAACTATATAAATTTAAATATACCATCTCATATTATTATTATATAATTTATTTAATAATTATTATATATATTTTTTAATCTATTACTATCTTCTATTTTAATTTGGACCATTTCATGCAAAATATCACAAACATATATAATTATATTATTAATTATTTAGATTAAAGGAATTATACAAAAGTAAGTAGAATTGAAAACAACTTATGGAGAAGCTTCTTAGAAGCTAGATAGATGCAAATTTGACTTTATACATATCTATAGGTGATTGGTAGGTTGGAAATTTTGCCAACAAGTTATCTATGTGTTGCTCATGTTGACAACTAATAGTACAAGTTGGTCATGTGTTGCACATGTAGGAAACTTGTCATGCAAGTTAGGTATATATCCTTGACATGTTTGGAAGGTCTTATAAAATATTGTCATGTAGCTCCTAGTTAGACAATATATATGGAGGCAAGAATAAAGCTTTCTTCACTCTTGTCAATACCTTTCTTATTCTTAGTCTAGTTTTAAGAGTCTTTAGTCTACTTATCTTTGGTACTAGCCATTCTAATTTTAATACAATATTATCTTTGAGTGATTATCTACCTTTTATAGTATCATAAGAGTATATAGATGTTTTGATTGTTTCTAATTCATATCCTTGACACAAAGTTGTAAGTATGTTGGTATTTAGAATGAAATAAATCTAATAGCCTATGTATAAAATATTTTTAATAACAAGTTTCTTTTTATGAAAATTTAATATTGAAATAAAAAAGAATAGATTATTTATTTACTAATATCTTCAAATAATTCAATTATTATCTAATATTCACAAATAATTCAATAGCATATATTTTTAATAAAAAATGTAATATAGATCAAAATTACACTTAAATGAATTAATATAAAAAAAGTTAAAAATAATGCTTTCCATGGATGCCCGACGATGGCGTCGCGTGCCAGATCCATCCTCGTACACACATTCGCCACCACCCACGACGCCATCTGCTATCCCCCACCCGTATTTCATCCATCCATCCGTGCTCTGCAATTTATCCATACATCTATGCGATGCAGCACACTCCAACACCCCCCACCCACTGTGTGTGTGTGTTTGTGAAGCACCAAGTTCCCCGAGCTTCACACGATTGCTGCACTTGGCTTTGCAGGTGGGCTTGTTGTTGGAGCCATTCCAGCACAACAATGGCGACTGTGACCGCTTCTTCTCTAGCGATTTCCGCCTCCGGCCCGGCCATTTCCCCTCACACAGGTCGCAACCATTGTGCAGGGCATCGCGCCACCAGCGCATCGTTTATGAACTCTGAGCTTTTCGCACGCTCCGCCACTCTGAGCCCTCACGCGGCTGTCGTTTCACGACCTGTCGAGTCTCGCCGTCCCTCGGTCTTCACCGTTTGCAAGGTACGATGCACGCGCGCGCACTACTTCGTGAATTGCCGTTGCCGTTCGAGGTCGTGCCTGTCGATTGCTAATTCGGATGGGTGCCTGTTGATTAATCGTAATTGTAACGCTCGCTGCAGATTTCGGTGGGCGATGTTGTTCCGCCGATTGGACTGAAGGACCAGGATGGCAAGCTGGTGAATCTAGACAAGTTTAGGGGTAAGAATTTGGTTCTCTACTTCTATCCTGCCGACTTCACTCCTACCTGCACGAAGCAGGCTTGCGCATTTCGTGATTCGTACGAGAAGTTCAAGAAGGCAGGTGCTGAGGTCGTGGGAGTGAGTGCCGATTCCCCCGAATTGCACAAGGTAACAGTCTCCTTTTTCCTCCGAAAATGTATATGCCAATGTCGGCCCACATTGTTTGGTCGAAATTGAATTCAATGCTCACTCAAGGTCGAAGCGTCACTGATTCGGAACCCAACATGGTGTGCAGCAATTCAAGGCGAGGTACAGACTTCCATTCACTCTGCTGAGCGACGAGGGCAATAAGCTGCGGAAGGATTGGGCCGTTCCCGGGGACGTCTTCGGAACTGTACCAGGCCGAATCACGTACGTGATCGACAAGAACGGCAAGGTGGTATTGATCTACAACAACGCTTTCGATGCCCAGAAGCACATCGACGAGACACTCAATATTCTGCAAAGTTAGACGAACGTCGCCGCTCATGCTTCCCAACTAAGCTCTGGAATTGGAAAAACAAAGTATGTACACTAGCAACCCAACTACGATCTGGAATGCTGTGTCCACTCCTCCAAATCCCACATCATCTACGGTCTGTCCTGTGATTTCAAGCCCGGTTCACATCACGATTGTCCCATCATGGACCTTAACGATTCTTCGCTTGATCTTAGCCTGTCGCGGCGTCTTAATGATCTTTGCCCATGACACCGCGCGCCAAGGCGTCGCTGATTCCTCATAAGATGCTCGTCGCTGATTCCTCATAAGATGTGATCGGATCGTGAAGCACGATGCTTCACATCTGGGAGCTTGCGCAGTGTCGACGATAGCGCTTCTGAGACTTATCGCCACGGGCTGAAACACCTTTTCTATGAGAAATAGAGGAAAATATTCACATCAAACTGCTTACAAATGTAAGCATATTGTGGTCAAATGTTACCAATTATCCAGTAGTCTTTTTTTAGGGTTTTCCTGAGGGGCCAAAAGGAAATGAACATTATTGTGGATAAGATTCTCCTACTCGAATCATTATTGCATTGTGGGTTTCTTTGTTTTGGCAGTGATTTTGACACTAGGATTGAATTTTTTTGTCTAGGGTTTAGAGTTTTTTGCTTAATGGATGACAAAAATTTGTTTGTTCTTTTTGCAAAATGGAGGATAAATGGAAATTGCTAATTGTGTGCTTGTACTAATGAGGTATGGTTTAATCAAGGAAGGGAATGTTGTTGCTTAATTGTGTGAGTTGATACTTGCAGCTCTAATGTCATGGAAATAAACCTTGATAAAGATTTAGCCAAAGAAAATCTAAAGTTTAAAGCACTGAAAAAATTCTTCTAATGCCTTGAATTTCAAAATTAAACTTCAAATTGCTTCCAATTTGATGATAATATTACTTAGTACGTCTATAACTTGTGAATTGTTATTCTGGTTTAAAAAGTGGTTGTTTATTATGTAGTGTACATTCCTAAATTAATTTTAAAAGTCAAGGCATAATGTTATATATATATATATATATATATATATATATAATTTTAAATAAATTATTGTAGATTGAGAATTTGATTTTGGCTAACATTATGAAAAAAATCTTGAGTTTATTGAAAATTATATTATCTTTACATGGCATGATAAATTTCATTGCCTATAAAATGGTAATGTGGTCAGTAAGCTCACAAATATGACAGGTAGTAATCCAATAGAATGCTTATAATAAAATTGTAGTCAATAATTCAGATTTTGATTTGTATCATCTATGAATTCATTGTGTGTAATAAGATTAATATTGCCTAAAATACATTTTGGGACATAGCATACCATTAAAAATATATTTGCAAATATATTTATAAGTAAACATCATTAATATTTCAGAAAAATATCAAAATGATTAATATTTATTATTTTCACCATAAAAAAGATTAAAGAGAAAATAATAGACAAAACATACAGGTTATAATCAACTGGCTAAACTCATGCCATTGTCACAAAAAACTTAATGTCAGAGATGGAAGCAATGATCTTTGTGACAATGGATTTACTTTGTCATCATGTAGCTTTGCTTTAAGTTTTTATCATTATAATTCTGAAATGCGTTGTTTTGTTTTTGCTAAAACAGGCACATGGAACTTTTTGTGCAACTGCAATCTATGAATGAGTTGATCACATAGGCACAATGAAATTCCATATTGTTTCATTCTCTTAACTCATTCTACACTAACTGCCATTTCTACCCTTGGTTTCACATCCTCACTCTCCCTGCCTTATTCAAAACATTGAGCAAAAGTTCATTAACATATTCATCAAGCTCCAAACCATTCTCCTTCATTCTCTTAAACATTCTTAACATGATCTCAATTTGGTTAAAATAATCAATGTGGCTGATGAGGGTATTCTAAGCAAATCAGTCAAGCTTATATCTTGCTTGCTTCTTGAATATAAAATTTTGCTTTCTCAAAGCCTCAATTGGTAACCCAAACAATTTACCAACCTTAAACATCACCTTAGATGCCAAATGGTATCCCAAAAAATTGCAGACTTGACACTCCACTCAAATCTGTCACCAGGTTAAGCCCTCAACTTCAATTCTCCTTGCAATACAGCCCTTTGCAAAGAAACTACGTGCTCGATTACTCTTACTTTCTCACTTTCTCTCCCATACTTTTGCTCTCTCTCTCTCTCTTTCTCGCTATGTTGCACTAGGTTATGGAATGTTGACACCACAAATACTATGGTCCACCATTGCCCTCTATTTCATTGATTGTGCTGCAGCAGATGAAGAGAAAGCAAACAAATCCTTGCCAAACATGATGAATGATGAGGCAATAGGTGAACATGGAAACATCATGGGATAAATCATACCCATATTTTCCTACATCCCACTTAGCTACTACCACTGGAACAGATTCTCATGAATAATCATCAATACTGTTCTTATAGCAGCACTGTAATACAAATACTCTCCACTTGGCCTGACTCCCATGGATTCCCATGCTTCCCCTCCCACACATCCATGCTATCACTGTTGACTAAATTGAAGAAAGTTAAGAGTTAACAAAGTTAGGGGTCCTGAGAATTGCCGTATGGAAACTAATTTTGCTTCACTTTTGATGAAACAATGAGAGATGTAGCCAATTAGAGAGGATTTTTGTGTCCTCTTGTTTATCTCATATATTTGCCCTCCTCCCCTCTAATATACAAGAAATTCCAGTTAGCGCTAAAATTAAAATCAAAAAATATAAATAAAACATATGATCACAATATTTTACTTGGATATGGTGCTCTTGGGAAAATATTATGTCACATGCTAAAACTCATTGCTAATATTCATGGTGACTAAATTTTTGTCAAATAGAAGCAAAATATTTCATTCTCAACTAAGAAAAACTAAATCAGCATACAGTAATTTGAATGCTTTAAACATGGCAACTGTGTACGTTGAAGAAACTGTAATGTATCAACAATTTTTTTTTTAAAAAAAAAACACAAAATTTATTTGGTAATCAAGATAGTACTAACTAAAATTTTAAGTTTATTACATAACATAAAACAGAAATTTAAATTAATTAAAAATAATCAAAAATAATCAAAAATAAGATAATAGATGAAGTTTTGAAATGAAGAATGAATTAGAACAAAAAAATTGTTAATAGATACAATTTTATTTTACATTTCATGAAGGCTTTTTATCCAAGTTTATGCCAAAGTTTGTACATTGTTTTATTTTCTATTCATATTTATTTTAACAAATCTTATCAAATCTCACATATACTATCATAAACAAGGAATAACATTTTTCTCTATCACCATGGTATCTTCTTTTTAATTGTAGGATGTAGTGTGGGGATAAGATACATAATTTAGGGTCAATAAGTATTATTCTATACAACATGATTAAGATAGACTCAACACAAAATAGTTTATGTATACAATAATTAAAAATTTATGTGAAAAGGAAGATATTCAAAATCAACACTAAAGTCATATAAAAGAAGTTGGTGTATTATTTCAAAAATTATATATTTAAAACTCTTCAAAATAGATTTAGTGTAAGTTCCCATTAGAACTCAATAACTAGTTGGAATTTGTTTTTCAAAAATTCTTGGGCTAAATTTTTTTCAACATTAAAAAAATTAAATATAATAGATTTTAATTAAAAAACATTTAGAAATAATGTCGTCTTTAAAAACATGCCTTGAAACAAATATACTACTAAAATAATAAGAAAAATCATGTAATACATGTAATAATAAGAAAAATCATGAAATAATAGAAGTTATTTTTAGTATAAATACATGTTATTGTTTTAAGGAATTTGTTACACTGGATTACTACTAGTTATGTTGTTTGGATGAATGTGTAGTTTTAGGTCTGATATGGGTTATAGGCTTCAACGTGTATGTTAAGAGTACAGTATATATAGAAGTTTATGTAGCAATATAGTAACAAGAGTGTAAAATTATGCTTCAAAATGATAATGTAAATCTAATGTATAATTGTGATTGTATTGTGAAATGATAAAGTTGAAATATTAGGAAGGAAGACATCATTATGGTATATATTTTGAAGTTGATCAAAAAATGTATATTAATTCAAAGATTTCCACCATACATATAGAAACAAACATATCAAACTAAGATCGAGGATATTCAAGGAGATATTTAGAGAAAATGTTGAGCCTATGTTATAATATTGGAGGTTTTATTCAAAAAAAAAGAAAACGTATTGAATAGAAGTCAATGTACAAATCTATGCAAAAATAATGGATATGTAATAAAAGAACTTGAGGTTTGTATGACTTGAATGAAGGTTGAATTGAGGTTGAAGCAACTATTAAATGGATTATTTTTTAAATTGAGCAAAGATTTTTTCATTAATAAAGACATGCTAAATAGATAATTAGTATGAAGAGACTAAAATTCAACTAACAAACAAAAAAACTTTTTGGGAATTACTTTTGGAATTGAAGTGCTATTTTGATATAACAAGCAATATGTTTGTAGAGCACTATTTCTATGTATATATAAAAAATAAATATTTTACCTTTAATGTTCCAACTTATAATAAAGTGAAAGACAATAAAATAGAAAATTGTATGAAAAAATGATTTCCAAAAATAATGTAGAACAATTTCAAAGTTAAAGAATAAAAAAGCATCCTTTAAAAAATTGGAAGATTTGTATGAAGAAGATAGAGACTTGGATGCTTTGACACTATTCCCAAACATGAAAAGTTTTGAAATCATAGAATGCGTAATTGGAGAAACTTATAAAAATTCTATAAGTATTTTCATTTTTTGTAAGTTTTTATGATAAATAGAAAAAAATGTCAAAGTAGAATTTTATATTTCTTACAAACCTATACCTATGTTGTTATTTGATTTTTAACCTATTTTCAAAGTATGTTTTTAAAAGAAAACAATAAACATTCTTTTTATCAATGACATCAAGCGTGAACATTTGTTCATACCAAAGGTGAATTAAGATATCAAGTTGCCCATTTCATTTGGCAATGATGCCAAGCTCAAGCACTTCTACATATTTAAGATAGTCAAAGATATAAGATTGCCTAAATCATTTGGTGATAATTTCAAGCTTGAGCTGATATGTTGTATTAAATATTGGCATCAACAATCAACTTACAATTATATAAAGAACATAAAATAATATCAAAAATTGGCATCAACAACTAACATTCACATTCATAAGCTATAATAGTTTGTTACAAAATACATGTATGTTTAATTTATCCTATCTTGTATATAATAATTGTGCATATAAATTATAAAACCAAGAAAAAATGCCTCACTTTAGACCTCCAACATGGTGACCTTATATAAATAAATAAACATAATTCCACATATAAATAACTATCTAGAATAGTTACTTGTTGGATGCATGCTAGTAAAATGGCCAAAATCTTTGCTTGCCAAAAGATCCAACACAAATTTATATTAGAGAAGTATTTAATTTTCTGAATGAAACTCTATAAGATAATTCATACTTACTGAAAATGCTTACTTGCCAAAAGCAAAAAAAAGTGCCTCTATACAAATTCATGTTCAAA